TCCAACATTCACCCTCCGCTATTTAAATTCTTAATTACTCCATCATTATCCTTTCCCCCTTTTACATTTTTTGCTCCCAATTTATACACTATTTTTATTCTTAGTCATGTTCTTTTCTCTTTTCCCTGCTTCTTATTTATTCGTCTCTTCCTCTTCTCATTTACTGTGTGTGTGTGTGTGTGTGTGTGTGTGTGTGTGTGTGTGTGTGTGTGTGTGTGTGTGTGTGACGATAACTCTTCCCATTCTCGTCTCATCATCTATCTATCCATCTATCTATTTATCTACCTATTAGTAACACACACACACACACACACACACACACACACACACACACACACTATATGTTAATGACACTACGCCTATCCACCAACGTCCCTGGTCGTGGGTGTGGCAGGAAGTAATCAGCGTTGGTGATAGCAGTGTTATCGCGGCCTCGGTGGGTGGGTGGGAGTCGCTTGTGTGTGTGTGTGTGTGTGTGTGTGTGTGTGTGTGTGTGTGTGTGTGTGTGTGTGTGTGTGTGCCTAATCTACAAGTTGGTGACACTTAGATGCCCCAACTAAAATGACCCACTTGAATGGCCTGTTTAAATACTCACACAGTGGCAGTCTGTTTACATCACTCTCTCTCGTACTTACTGTTCTTGGTAATACATGACGTCACCAGGGAGGTTGAAAGGTCTCATAAATCTCATCAAAAGTCACGAGGAATATTGTATCCTTTCACTTGAGGGTCACAAAGTCATACAGTAGGTCATATGTCATACATTAGGTCACAAAGGTCATACAGTAGATCACGGAGGTCATACAGTAGAGGTCATACAATCCATCACACAAGAGGTTATTTAATACATCCTCCCTGTTGCCTTCGTTATATAAATCATTTGCAAATTACCACTGTTAAGGCTGCAGTTAAATGGTGATTGACAGCAGTAATTGTTTCCTCCTTGAGATGGTCGGAGGGTTGTGGAATACCTGTCTGGATCAATTACGTTCATCTGATACTACCTGGTACTTGATACATTCTATACCTGTGAGGGAATAGCACCTGTTTGGATTTCACGCTGGCTAATGATTTGGACATGTTTAATGTGACGTGAAGTGTGTGTGTGTGTGTGTGTGTGTGTGTGTGTGTGTGTGTTGAGGGGAACAGGTCGCCATTTTGGTCATGTATCACGTTATATGCCCATTAAGGTCGCCATGGTTCTCCGCCTCCGGGTTATCTACGGCGACTCCTTCAACTGCTCCTGCTGTGGCTGTAGTTTTTGTTGTTGTTTTGGGGAGGTATGGGCCAGTGTTGTTGTTACTGCTGACTTGTAGTAGTAATAGTAGTAGTAGTAGTGGTGAAGTATTAGTAATGAGTAATGTATTAGTAGTAGTAGTAATGGGTAATGTAGTAGTAGTAATGCATTATTATTATTATTATTATTATTATTATTATTAGTAGTAGTAGTAGTAGTAGTAGTAGTAGTAGTAGTAGTAGTAGTAGCTGATGTTCGAGGCTTGAGAATCTTTCACTTGGATCTATGTCGCTAAAGACGCCCAACGCTGTCGGTTCAGTTTGTCCTCACGTTCTTCCTTAGTGTTGTGTTGACGTAAACTACACACACACACACACACACACACACACACACACACACACACACACACACACACACACTGTCTTCCCACGTCTCTCCACTTTCAATTCTTTCCCTCTACTCTTTCTATCATCTTGTTCTGTTTTCCCCTCATTCCGTCCTTCCTGAATCTCTCCCCATCTTTCCCTTCCATCCTTGTCCATCACCTGGGCTTTGTCTGTTATTCCCTCGTTTTTGCCACTTTCTCTCTTCCTTCTTCCTTCCATCTCTTCCTCTCTTTCTTGCCACCAGACATGTCCATCCCCCGTGACACTAAGCCTTCCCCTCTTCTCCCTCCCCTACTTCTCTCTCCTCCACCTTCCACTCCCCTTCTCCTCTTTCTTTCCCCTCCCCTTTTCTTCTTTATTGTCTTTGTATATTTTCTTTTGCCATTATGTTGTTAATTCCCTTTACACTCTCTCTCTCTCTCTCTCTCTCTCTCTCTCTCTCTCTCTCTCACACCTTCATCCTCTTCGACTTTTCTTGTCTCCTGCCTTTATCTTTGTTCTTAATTCCTTTTCATTCATTGCTTCTCTTGTTAACTTGTCCTCCATATCCTCCTCTTAGCCTCCTCATCTCTTTCATTCTTCCCCTTATCTAGTTCTTCTTTCTTTATTCTTCCATTCGTCTCCATTAACCACCCTCTCTACCCTGTTTCCACCTTAAAAGCAACATCACCTGCTTCCGTCCGTGTTAGGTGAGAGTGTAGTGAAAACTTAAGTCCTGCGTGGCTGGTGTAGGCGGGTAGGCGTCACCCCCTCAGCTCTCCCACACACACACAGTCAGGAGGTTCACTTATTATATGCCAGACTTGTATGGGTTTAATGTATGGTATTGTATGTTTGTGTATGTATGTATCTCATGTTTGGTGATTATGTATAATTATGTATCTCTTATGTATGAGATTATGTTTATGTATCTCATGTTTGGTGGTCATGTATGGTTATGTATTTCTTGTGTATGGTGGTTATGTATGATTATGTATCTCTTATGTATGGTGATTATGTATTTCTTAAGTATGGTGGTTATGTATGATTATGTATCTCTTATGTATGGTGGTTATGTATCTTATGTATGGTGGTTATGTATGACTATGTATATCTTATGTATGGTGGTTATGTATGACTATGTATCTCTTATGTATGGTGGTTATGTATGATTATGTATCTTATTTATGGTGGTTATGTATGATTATGTATCTTATTTATGGTGGTTATGTATGGCTTAATCTTATAGCTTCTGTAGACAAGGGGTTTCTATGTAGCTAACGTTTTGTAAGTTTTCACTGTGTATGTGTTTTCATGTATGTTATTTTGTAGTATAATGTGAGTTGAAAAATCCTTAGACTTTTTAGGGACTCGCATAATTATGCTTTTGTAGATATATGATAAAGTTTATAACAAAATATTATTGTTGACGTTGGCATGAATTGTTTTAATTAATATCTGAAGTTAATGAAGACAGACAGACAGACAGTGAGTGTTTATACGCTTTTTGTGTGTTCCGGTATTGTTGGTTTGTATATTTTGATGCGTATTATTATTCTGCCGTGAAGACTGTGTATATCTCTGCACTCTGGCTCTTCCTCCTTCACCCTGTATGGATGAGGAGCAGAATGTATTTGTTTCTTGAGCGAGGTGCAGCCAGCGTGTGTTAGAGAGAGAGAGAGAGAGAGAGAGAGAGAGAAATGTTGACGCGGCTCCCATCTTTTCCTGTCCGCCGAGATACAGTGTTTTGAGTTGCTTATACGAAGAACATCATTAGGCGTTAAATCCATGGGCTTGGAATGTCTCAGAGACTCGGTATATATTATAATTATATAACTATCGTGATATACTTTTACCTCCCGTCTTCTACCACACACTGTAGCTGGGTGGTGTCGTAGTTCATTATACGTAACACATTTATATTCTTCCCTGTATCGAATTGTTTTTTTTTATCTTTATAACATATAGACTTGGACTGGGTAATGTCTTAAAGAACCTAACATAGTCATCGTTCCCTCAAGGCCCTGGTGTCTTAACAGATTTTCTCACTTAACATAAAATACGAGAATTCATCGTCTTTTAACACAAGAGTCTCCTAATATATATTTCAACCCTTTAATAATTTCTTTCTGTTTTGACCACCATATTTGTGCCGTAAGTTCTTTTTTTTTCCACGTAAGAGAATTTGTGTGAGGGAAGAGGAGGAAGGTGGCGTGCGAATCTTGGGGAATCTGGAGTCGAGTAATGGAGAGAACATTGAGGTTGCGTGCGTGTAATGACACTATAATGGCCGTTTTCCTTTGGATTTTCTTTTATGGTTAGTTGGTCCGCCTGCTGTTGGCCTTGACGACTGAGGCAGCAGGGATTGGAAGGAGGGATTGTGTAGTTACGAGAGAGGGATTAGGGGGAAAGTGTGCGAGAGAGAAGGATAGTTTCTGCCAGAGGGGGATTGTAGGTGGGGAAGAGACTGGAGGTGCAAGAGAGGGATTGGGGGCATGTGTACGAGAGAGGGATTGGAGGTGCAAGAGAGGGATTGGAAAGTATGCAAAGGGGGAATTTCGAGTGGCAGAGAAGGATTGGGAGCGTGAAAAGACCTTGGAACATGGAGGAGGGAGGGACTGGCAGCATGAAGAAAGGGTTGTGAATATACAGTATAGGAGGGATTATATTATTTTATTTAGAAACATAAGGAAGGGAGTAAATCTCTCTCTCTCTCTCTCTCTCTCTCTCTCTCTCTCTCTCTCTCTCTCTCTCTCCTGTGTGTGTGTGTGTTGATGACTTACCTGCCTGCTGCTGAAGGGGTTGACCTCAGTGGTAGATGGGTTCCTTGATCTGGTTCGTTACCTTGAAGTCAGAGTTAATGAGTAGTATGTTACCTTGAGACTGAATTAGAAAATGGCTCTATTTTTACCTGTATTCGTTGTGTATTCATATTTATACATGGCCTTGTGTTCCTCTCTCGTATACCTGTCCTTGTTAGTGTTGATTAACTCATTAAGTCTCGTTTTATGTGTTGGACGAATGAAACATATTAGTGTTATTGTTTTGGTTGTGTGACAGTTCCTGGTTCGTGTACCTGCCCGAGTGACCTGTAAGAGTGTTGTGCTCTGTTAATTAAGGCATTTTGTACCTCTTCTGCCCTCTGGTGGATTTGTTGAGAAGCTCTATTGATGTTACACTAATAACATCATTGTAGCGAGCATAGTTTATCAGTGTTCACTATTTATTTTTTGTCATTGTTGTCATCATCATTGTTGCTTTGTCATTGTAGCCAAATCAAAACAGATAATATAATAGTGTACACATTATTATGGAGAACGAATTCCAGAATAATCTCTTCCGCCGAGAGAGTCACACCGCATTATTTCCTAATTAACTATTTTTGCGCCCCGCAGGTTAATGAAATGCGCGAGTGAGTCTGGGAGCGGTCCGGAGGTTGGAGGTGGCCGCATATGACGTCACTACTGCCGGCAGCCAATCACACCTCATTATGTAGATGGTGAGTTGCTGCTCATTTACAGTTAGTCACCTGTATATAGCCAAGAGTTTATTGTCGCTACATTTTCCACATTTCTTGTTTTACACATTTTGTAAATTAGATACATATATTATTGTATTAGATCTTTATTTTACAAACGTACCTGATTTCTATATTTTTAATAGGGTGTGGCAAAGAGGAGTATTATGTTAGGATTCTGTGCAGCGACAAATAGTAAATATTACTCAGGGCTTGGCTGTCATGAGGGCAGGACTGTACCGGCAAGATAATATAGTTTTACCTCGTCAGTGTGGGCGTCTATACATCTTCTGGCTCGAGTTTCAGCATTGTGTCTGTATATATGTTTGTATATTATGTAACAACCGCATGGTATTTTATGGGGAGTTATTTTAATGTTTTTTTTTCTACGACCCAGTGCTTCTATTATCGATGTCGTGTTTCTGCCTCTATAAGCATGAGTGATTATTTAGATTAATATTTGATGGTGTGTTTATTGTGATTACTTGTGTTTACATTTTATCTGGGACGACGTGATTTTTTTTTCTGGTTTTGTGTCATTTTATTTTCCTGCAGGATTTGTGTGTGTCTATCGGGTTATTGTCACACCTCTTTTATACAATCACTCAGAACCTGTTGTCTAGGTTAGGTTTTCAAAATCCTTCGTCCGTTGTGTCATATATATTTTTTTTTCACCACAATTTCGTATAGATAGATAGATGGTGTTTTGAATGACTCTACCTTTAAAATCTACCTCAATATAGCATTCCATAATCCCTTGTATTGTGTACCACGTATCTCCCCATAGTTCAGTCTTTCCCTTTGTAAACTGAAGATATTATTTCGCTATATATTTTTTTTTTTTGGTTGAAAGAGATGACGGGAACCTTAGTCGTGTCCTCAGTATTTAATGAACTCTTTTACGTTATCAGGTGAAAGTATTCGGTAAGTTACAATAGATTTGACGCGGTTATTGTCAAGAGGTTCACATATTGTATAAGATATATTGTTCACAGTTAGAATTGCCGAGCTTATTATTCTCTATTATTATCTAGTTTTATTTATTTTTTTGCTTTTTTTACATGTTCAACACAATTAACCTAACCAGCGTCTTGACAATGGTATGGTATGGTTAGGTTAGGTTAGGCTAGTTGGCTAGGTTAGGTTAGGATAGATTAGGTTAGTTTTTGTTAGATTAGGTAAGGTTTGTTGGCTAGGTTAGGTTAGTTGGCTAGATAAGGTTAGGTTTGTTGGCTAGGTTAGATTAGGCTCGGTTAGTTGACTAGGTTAGATTATATTAGATTAGGTTAGGTTAGTTGGCTAGGTTAGGTTAAGTTAATTGCTTCATATCTATTCAAGTTCAGGAGAGAGGTTCGTCTGGTAAAAAAAAAATAAGCTAATTTATTCTGAAAAATGACAAGTATTTTTCTTGACAAATATCTTCAGGTCAAATAAGTTAATTACAGGCAGAAAAGATTGTACCCGGGCCATCATAATCTACCGCCAAGACATAATAACTCACTCAAAAAACTATTTCTACTTGGGGGGGGGGGGTCGATGAATTTCGGAATGAACACTGGGAGTTGTCAAAGTCCTTCGTTCGTTGTGTCTTATTTTGTCAACACAATTTTGTGTGTGTGTGTGTGTGTGTGTATATATATATATATATATATATATATATATATATATATATATATATATATATATATATATATAATTTTTTTTTTAGTGACTCTTACAAGGACTAACTTAAGATTGCTTGAATCATATGGGTTAGGTTAGGTTACTGTAGTAAAGAAGCGATGTCGAGGTGCTCAGAGTTCACCCACGGCAGCTATCAAGGGTCAGGGGTCGCTGGGATGTAACTAACGTATGACCCCCCACAGTACGTCAGGCTGCCTGGGGACTTGGCTCTAGTTTTAATCCCCCTGGACCGAGGACCGTGGGCAGGAACACAGCTGCTCTGAGAATAAAACACTGTAGTCGACACGAAAATGAAGATTTTGGTTCCGAAAATAGATTGAGCTAACGTATAATTCAACTCTTGCTTTATTTTTGTCTACGAGTGTCAGTCATTGAGTGAGATGACGTGATTGGTTATTCTAGGAAACATCTTTTAAAGGTCATTGTGTAGTAAGAGTTGGGTGACCAGAGAACCCATTTTATTATAACAGGTTAATGAGGGGTGACAATGAAAGGCCATTTTGTGATGACTGATCTTATATCACATGAGCCTCCAGTTATACCTGTAATGAAAACTTCTTGTAAGAAAATATATAACAAGAGGAAGGAGTATAAGAGTTAAAGTCAGTTTAGCAGAGTCAACACACACACAGGCACATTAACGACCGGTCTAACGCTTAACAAACTACTGTAATAATTAATAATAACTTTATAACAACTTGTGTCACCGTCAGTCCTTGCCTACGGAAGAACGGCATTAGAGTGGGGCGAAACCCCTTGGCGGAGGAGGGTGTTGGGGGGCTGGTCACACACACAAGCGTCATATGAGAAACAACTGTACAGGCGCCATAATAAACGAATTATCTCTGGGTGGACGGGAACGCCAGGCACTGATGATTTGCTCGTGCTGGCATGGTTTTTTTTGCTTTATTTTGTTTATTTTAAAGGGATTTTAGTGCAGGTGGTGGATCAAATTGGACAGGTAGACAAGGAACCGACCTATTCCTTTTCACCTGTATGGATTACCTCACTACACAAACTGTTCTTCTTGCTGTTTTTCCCCTCTTTTAATTTGTAATATCTTTATTGTCATTACTCTCTCTCTCTCTCCTGTCTCGCCTTCGCTTTTCTAATTAACCTGTTCTCCTCATCTTCTCTTTTAATAGAAACGTCAGTGTTCTCTCCCTCTCTCCTTCTCTCCCTCTCCCTCTACCTGTCCATGATATTCTCCACCTTTATTGCGTGTTCTCCCTTCCTTTCTTCTCTTCGTCTTTGTTCTGACCCCACAGTATATAATCACTTGTAATCAGTTTTTTCTTTTTCCTTATGTATTTTATTCTTGTTCCTCCTCTCTTCCCTGTTTACTCTGTTTACTCTCTTCTCCTCCTCCTCCTCTATTCTGTCTTTAGTGAGTTTATTTGTTTTTATTTATTTTTCTTCCTCCTCCTCTTTTTCTTTACGTCATTACTTGGTTTATTTTCGAATTTTCTCTGTCTTTCCATTTTCTTACTTTTATTGTTGTTGTTTATTCTCCTTTTTCGTATCCTTACTCTTATTGGGTGTTATGTGCATCTCTCTCTCTCTCTCTCTCTCTCTCTCTCTCTCTCTCTCTCTCTCTCTCTCTCTCTCTCTCTCTCTCTCTCTCTCTCTCTCTCATCCCTTTATATCCCTTCTCCTTAATTCTCGTCATTCTCCCCTCCTTCCCTTCCACCAATCCTTATTCATCTTTGTGTTTTCATTTAGTATTTGTTCTCTTGTTAACATAATTCAATATTTTTGCTTCCTTTGATTCTGTTTTATGGGTGGGATGAGGGGAGTGGGGGAGGAATGAGGGAGGAAGGAGAGGAGTGAGGGAGGAAGGAGAGGAGTGAGAGACGAGTGAGGGAGGAATGAGGAGGAAGGAGAGGAATGAGGTGGGGAGGATGGAGAGGAATGAGGAGGAAGGAGAGGAATGAGGTGGGGAGGATGGAGAGGAATGAGGTGAGGATGGAGGAGGAGGAGGGAGGAATGAGGGGAGATGAGGTGGGGAGAGGGAATGGAGATAGTAGGATGGGAGTTTGGGCAGGAGGGGGTGGAGAGGGGGAAGGAGGTTAAGTGAGGGGGGATGGGGAGGAGGGTTGAGTAAGGTAGAAGGGAGGAAAGAGGAGAGTGGGAGAGGAAAGGAGGTGGGTAAGGGAGTAGGTGGAGTGGGAAGGAGTTGAGTGGAAGGGGTGAGAGTGGAGTAAGACGGTGATTGGTAGAAGAGCGTAACTAGGAGGAGAATAAATAAAAGAGAGATGAACGGGGAAGCAAAGTGAGTGGATGAAAGATCGAGTGAAAGGCACGAGGGAGAGGGAGTGAGAAAAACGACTAATTAGGAAAAATGGATAAGAGAGAGAGAGAGAGAGAGAGAGAGAGAGAGAGAGAGAGAGAGAGAGAGAGAGAGAGATTTAATAGCTTGCCTTGGCAGAGTACAAGAAAAAACAATCACTAGAGCCAAACACACAAACACACACACTCACGCAAAGGAACTTAAAAAAGAAAATAGGTTACACGGAGGAAATTTGAAAACGCCCAGAATTTTCGGAATTTAGGAATTCGTGTGTAAAAAAAAAATATTGTCAGAGTTTGGAACGAGAAGAAACAGTGATGTATGGTGTTGGTGTGTGTGATAAAAGGCTTCTGTATTCATAGCCATTGGGGGTAGTGCTGATGAGGGCGGGATTGTATTAGTGGTGAACGTGCCATGACCCTCCTCGCTTCCTCAATTGTCCGTATAAATAAAGTCAGTTACTTTAAGCATAATCCAAAGGTAGAAAATGAATCATGTTTAATTACAATATATTTCATACTCACTTGTTCTTGTTTTTAAGTCACTCAAAAATTTATCGATACAAAATTGTGTTGAGAGAATCAGACACAACGGACGAAGGATTGTGACATCCCTTCCGAGACAACAGGAGTCGCAGTGTTCATTCTGATAGTCATCGACCCCCCCCCAAGTACAGTTTAAAATACAATAATTAATAGTCTTGTGTTTGTATTAGCATATTCTCAGGTTTTGTGTCATTACTTACGGAGATTAAAATGGTAGAAATCCTTATTATGTGTCCTTTAGTAAGTCAAATAATGGTAAGGGTTTGATGTTTATTGTTTATTAATCTATACGGAACGTAACTCTTGTATTAACGTTCTTGTTTTGTTGGGTTTTAGTTAAGTAAGTAATGCATCATCACCGCCACCACCACCAGACACTGTACACAACATCCTCTTCAATTCTGTCCAAGATCAAGGTCATGGGAAGGTCAGGGGTCAAATCTTTGTTCCCCCGTTAATTTTTG